CCCAAAACCCTATTCTAATAATGAAGGCCCCTACATTGCTCAAATCCCACGTAGCATGGCTGAGTTCTCTGGAGTCGCTGAAGGCAACTACAGACGCAGCCAATTTTTGACGGTATGTTGACAAAAAACGATCATCACATAGCCTAAACCTAAATCCTAAACCCTAGGCCTTGAACCATGTACGTACTTATGTATGTACGGGTTGTACAAAAACATATACATAAATAAATAAATAAATATATATATATATGCATGTATGTATGTATATGTGTTAGCCTGCGTGTTTGGAGATTGATGTGTAGACAGATATATATGTCCATGCCCGCCCTCTTCAGGAGCTTCCTCTGTTTCTGATCCACACCGTCTCGGCTTCGCAGACGGGGATTCGGCGGAACCTCATGGAGTGCCTGATAGTCAGAAAGATAGGCCGGGATGGATCGGATGGATGTGTGTGTGTATACATATGTGTGTATATATATATGTATACATATGAATGTGCATATATATATATATATCTATGTATGTATGTATGTATATATATATATATGTATGTTTGTGTGGTTGTCTTTCTTTGTTGCTCTTCTGTCTCTATGCATCTACTGTTACTTGTCTGCAGCAGTGGGACTAATAGCAACATCATCGCCAAGAGCGCCCTTATTCTCACTCTTCGTCGTCATCGTTGCTGTCTTCGCTGTCGGAGAGGTAGTGGTAGCAGTTGCATGGCAGCAACAGCCGTAGCATATGCAAGCCAAGAGACAAAACCCCAAATCCCCAAACCTAGATGTCAAAACCTGCTTCGAGGGGATCCTCCTCTGGCTTATACCTCCGTGTCGGAGAACAACAATGGATGGGCCTTTACACTCCGCGAGTTGATGCAGTGCTTTGTGCTGAATGGTTTATGTCGTGGGTGTATAGGTTTATAAGCTTCATATTATTGCCGTACGGTCCCGATGATAGTTATGATGCAGTATACCCCAACATATGTCAGGGTTAGGGTCAAAGGGTCGACGGGTGAGAGGCTCGAGGCTTTGAGGCATTCGGGGCCTGTAGAGCCATAGCTTTTGACCTGCAAGTCTATGGATTTTCTCCCGAGCTACGCACTAACTATGGGGTTCCGGGTTCGTTTGGAGAAGGGAGGAGATAGGTGGGCACCTGATATTGTATCCTCGCACCTACAGTTTATGTTTATATATACTCGACCCGGTCGCACCAAGAAATACAGACTCCGCGTGTCTAGGGTGCTCGGATAGATGGCAACCAGTATCTTAGGACGGAAATAACACACTCCTCTTCGTCCCAAAGCTTTCTGCTACAGGGAAAGCGTTGTCCGCTTATGTGCAAGTAGGTAGTGGGTTTGACTTTACGCTCGAGGCTTTGAGGCTTTGAGTGAGTTCTGCATCGTGAAGCTTAGTGCCTCGAACGTCCCAGGACCGCACAACCCGAGACTATGTCAAATCCATACTGTGAAAGGCTAGGCTGCCTGCCTTAGTTACAGGGATCTTTGAAGGCAGTTACATAATATAATGGCCTCAATAATTACCTATACCATTCTGGGGTTCCTTATTACAGTTATAGTATAATATACCCCAAGACCCTATTCTAACTTTTAAGGCCCCTACATTATCCTTGCTGTCCGAATGAGCACGCAGTCCTGGGGCCGACGGAGTTACCTGAGGTACGCCGGCAACGTGACCTTGGACGATTTCAATGAAGGAAATGTGGTTCCGGTAAGGCCTGGCACGAAGACGCCTGTCTGCAATATGAGCCAGTTTGGGAAGACGGCCGGCGCGATTGAAACACCACGCAGAAGCAGCATGATTCGCGGCAGAGGTAGTAGTAGTCGTCGATGTCCTGTCCTGGTAGCAGGAGGAGGAGCAATAACAATGGTAGTGAATCCCATTGATATTGCAGTAGTGCAGGGAGAACTAGTAGCAGCAGCGGTCGTCTGCGTCTTCGTCGTCGTCGTCGTAGTTGTCGTTGTCGTTGTTGTCACCGAAGCAGCGGCAGCAAGAGAAGCCCGACTTTCAGAGAGATCCCTGTCCAGAGAAATCGCAGTCAGCAGGAGGCTGTGGCGGCGATCTGCCTCCGTTGCACGGGTTTTGAGCAGAATCACACACCACAAGTTGCTAGTGAAGTTCCAATAGAAATTGCGGTCCAAACTATTTGGCCGGAAGCTCACGATTTCTGGCTGAATGCTGGTTGGGGATTGAACATGTTTGGGGATGCCACACGCTACTTCCTTTTGGAAGGCAACCAGCAGCTGTTTGCTGAAACGATTCGCTAGACCGAAAGCCTAAAACAACACCCTACACACCCTACCCCCCGAAGGGTCAGAACAAGCCCCTGACCTCTCTAAACCCTAAGCCTTGCAAGCTCTTAAATCGCCGGTAGAGTATAACATGGTACTGTCGCATATCATAGGACATTCTTGTAGTATAGTACATTTTAGTACACTATAGTCAGTACATTAAGCATTATAGTATATACTAACTACCCTAAACCCTAAACCCTAAACCCTATTGCCCTAACCCCCCAAGTACCTACTACATAGGGCCCTAGGGCCTCTAGTACCCTAAAAAAGAAGGTACCTGGGGGGGTTTAGGGATACACTCACTCATCCGGAGGATTCGCTACCGCCACACGGGTTTCATCCTGACCCTGCGGTTCCGCTATTGGAATTACCAGGCCGGAAGCGGTTCCCGCCGAGTTTTTGAGACTAAGGTTTTTGTTTGTTGCTAGGGTTTAGGGTTCGGGGTTTTAGGGTTTAGGGGTTTACGGGTTTAGGGGTTTAGGGTTGAGGGTTTAGGGTTGGGTAGGGTGATAGAAAGATTCCGCAACGGGCGTCGGGTTGTGGGGTCTGGGAGGTTTACTCGCTGAGGAGTGCCAGGGGTTTCAGGGGTTGAGGAGACTGTGGTTGTAGGGGCATTTAGGGATCGTCGGCTTTAGGGATTTTAGGACTTTTGTGGGGGGTTTAACCCTGAACTCAAAAGGGTTTAGGATATAGGGGATTCAGGATGTTTTGGGTGGTTTTGCGGGCATTCAGTCGGTTTTGGGCTTGAGCGTTTCAGGGCTTCTCCCGACCCGGGGCCAAGATGCACATTTTTTGCGGGGTCTCGGAGTTAGGATTTACGGCTTAGGGGCCTTCGTCTTTGGGCTCCAAGTCTGAGAGACTGTCCCGCCCCTCCTGCCCAAACCCTAAATTTAAACCTAAACCCAACATCTGAGCCCTAAACCCTAAACCTTAAACCCTAAGCCCAAACCCTAAACCCTAATTAAGCCCAAACCCTAAGCTCCAAATCTATACCCTACACCCTAAACTCTTCTGCAATTTTAAACGAAATCGAAAGTTATTGGTACCGTCACCTGACGTCATGTAGTGGCCGGACAAACTTTACTAATGGCATCCCCTGTTTAGTCCCTGTATGACTATCCGATCATTGCCCCCGAATCTCTAGTCTAAGTATGGAGGGCCCTTCTACAACCGTGAAACAAAGAATCAGTGCTAAACCAAACCCCAAACCCTGCCTAAACCCCAAACCCCAAACCCCGAACCCCAAACCCTCAACGCCAACACGGGGATGCCATGGAAAAGAAGCCGCAGCCCGCGATTCTCGGGGTGCACCAATGCATACTTGGCAATGCCGGCGCATGGTGCTGTGGGTTATAGAACTGTGGGTTTTAGTGTTTTGGGTTGGGGAGCTTCGATTCAGGATTAGAAATCTTGCCGCCTTTGAATGTGTCAACAACTGTTACAATGCCGCACCTTGCAAGCTAGTCTTTGAATTAAGTGCCCGAGGGGTTGAGCACTTGCAACCAAGAGGGCAGAACGGTTTTGTAGCTGAAGGGCGTGCATCGCGTTTGTGCAGGCAAGCAGCTGCTGTTCATTGGCATAGTCCAACCGAGACACCCCATGACATCAGCCCATTCCCCAACTCACTTCGAGAATGCACTTGCATGCCTTTGCAGCTGCCCCAGGACCCAAGACAACCCCAACCCGCTTTATCACAAAACCCTACAGCAGGTAAACCTTGTGCCCCAAAGCCCTAAACCCTTACGTTTGTGAAATACCCACCAAAGTATAAGTCACCACACTTTAACAAACCCCTAAGCTTGAGGCCCTGAGACCCCTAGCCCCATGAGCGACTTGTTGCAGGCCTGGCCAGAAGCCTACTGGGACTTGCCCAGCTTTCCGTGGGACGCTCTTCTGTTTCGCTGTGATGGAGCCTTTCGATTCGGGGTTGAGTCCTTTTGGGCGAGAGAGGTTGAGTCTCAAAACGTGTCCGTGTGTGTGCGTGTGTGTGTGAAGAAAATGTAATCAATACATATATACATATATACATATATACATATATACATATATACATATATATATATACAGACAAATACACACATGTCGTGTACACATATGCAACATTGTGTTGATATCTCTATAAATAAATAGATAAACAAATAAACAAACATATATATATATATACATAACGAGTGCGGAACCTTTCCGGCTCATTTGGAAGCCGTCTGTTGTGCCAAATATAAGGAAAGCATCTGTATTCTATATGTGTAATTAGGCAAGAGCATGCTTTCCAAATAATCCCATCAGGTCTGTCAAATCAATAATTCAGCTTTCCGCCAAATAAAATGTTTAAATATTGCAAAAAATGAAAATTACCACATTACATAATCTAAACAACTTCATTTTGCAAATATTTCCATTGTATTTAAAGTTAAGTAAGCATGTAAATGCTTTACATAGTTTAAACAACTTAGTTGGCTAAAATTAAGTTGGTTATAATATAACAATATTTATGTAAAACTCCCAAACAATCTAGAGACTTGAGTTGGTAAATATCTGAGTTATTTAATTTGCAGAAATATCTAAAATTTTTTCAATCTTATATCATGTCCATAATTTAAATGGCCGGTACCTCCCCCAGGATGCCTTTTCCTTTCGTTCCTCCACCCGGCCCTTGTGAAGGGAGGTCCGCGCCATTTCAATCACATAGTTATATGAATTATCCAAACTACATCAAAAGGTTTGTACAATTGAAATCATGCAAATATTGGACAATGATTCTTTTTATTTTGATGTGTAAATGACTACAAAAAAAAGGCCATACTCTTGCGGGCAAATGATTAAAATATTTGAGTTAAATAAATTATTGCAGTAATCTGAACATTATACAATTCATACAACTTTTTTCAACCGCTGTCGCATTCGAATGCCAGCTCCTGTCTTCACGAGTACAATGAGCATTATCATTTCTTCTATTTAGTAGCAGCAGCAGCAGCAGCACCACCAGTAGCTGTCGCAGCAGTAGCAGCAGTATGGTATCAAAGCACGGGTCGTGAACAGGCACGCATTTTTAATAAGTTGCAAGTCTACAATTTGCAGCCATGAGGGAGGCAATGCCAGAAGATGCCGAGAAGCGTCGCATCCAGCGACACCGAGCTGCAAAAGCAAAGGCGGAGGGCGCCGCTTCGTGTCCAAAGGGGGGCAACTCAAAGTCGAAAACACTGCTCTGAAAGATGCCGCTAAGACCGCTAAGACCAGCTCTGCATCCACCGACGTCAATTATCAGCAGGAGGCGCAACTGTCCAAAGCTTCGCAGTGGAAGCGGATGTACGAGCAGAAACGCAGGGGATTAGAGTGAGAGAAAGACTCTACGACGGGTCCCGAAGACGACGGGCGAAGAGAATTTGACGTTGCAGAAGGCGAACTTGAGTTTGCAGGTAGTGGTAGTGGTAGTGGTAGTGGTAGTGGTAGTGGTAGTGGTAGTAGTAGTAGTACAACAGAGCATGGCTAGGCCATCTAGGGGCTTCTAAACAGGTCTGAGGTGGAGTGGTCACGTGTGTTTTGTCAGTTGTTTGGGCAGTCTTGGGATAGGTTCGGGGACATATGCAGGCCAGGTGCCAGGCAGAATGATTTGAAAGCAGCAAAATCAGCACCCAAATCGCCAATATCAGGGGCACAGCGGCAGGCGTATTTACCCGGACAGCAGGCGTATTTACCCAGCCGCCAGGCGGAATTACCCGGACAAGGCAAAAGCAGCAGCAAAACAACAGCAAGCCAGCAGCAAAGACATTGGAAATCCGAGTCCTTGGCAGCAGGCAGAACAAGGGATAAGGCTTTTAAGGTTCGGCAATTATGTTTTTGATTTTGCTTCGTAAAAGGAAGCCCATCTGACCATACATATGTGCTTTTCCATACCGAAAATCACCACGTGTGTGATCCGTTATGCTCCGCATGGGAAGGTAAGCCCAAAAGCAGTGCAGCAGAATCCAGACTAGCAGGCGGAATCCTTGCATGCAATCGTTTTAAATGCCTGGCAAGGCCGCAGGCGTTATATTCCGCCGGAGTTTGTAGGTAAATCACGTGCAATCGGATACGTCCCAAGAATTACATAAGGATGTACTCGGCCGTGATTGAGTGTAACCGAGCATGGACGTGCTTGGGGGTGTTGCTACTCGCACTTTGCGCGACTGACTCGGGGGCTGCGGTGTTGCATGGTTACATTTGGGGGTGTATGCTCTCCTTCGGGGTGAGTAGGCTTAGTACGTCATGGTTTCATCATCACTATCAAAGCAAGAAGTCTTGCTTCCGGCATGCGAGAAAACCCCACGCAAGAGCTTCCGAATAGACCCACTTAGTTCCAGCCACATATATGTATACGTTTTATCTATCCATCTACCTATCTATCTATCTATCTGCCTGTCTATCTATCTGGGTCTATCTATCTATCTATCTATCTATCCATGTATCTATTTACCTGTTTATCTGGGTCTATCTATCTATCTATCTATCTATCTATCTATCCATGTATCTATTTACCTGTTTGTCTATCTATCTATCTATCTAGCTATCTATATCTATCTATCTGTCCGTCTGTCCGTCGTCTGTCTGTTTGTCTGTCTGTCTGTCTGTCTGTCTGTCTGTCTGTCTGTCTGTCTGTCTCTCTCTCTCTCTCTATCTATCCATCTATCTGACCATCTATCTTTATCTATTTATCTATTCGGTTTGATTCTGAATATGTATGCACACACATATATATATATACACACTGGTATACGTATAGATACCTGGAGGGCCAGAGGCGGCCTATAATTGCCGTTGGTGGATTTACCCCTGTAGCGTAAGCCGTATACCCTAAACCTCAAGGCATGCTGAAAGGCTCATGGTATGTAGAAAATAACGTCAATCCCAAACCTTACCTAGATCACTTATAACCCAATTACAAGCCTACTTGCTAAGTCCCCTGAGCCCTGAACCCTAAACCCTAAACCAAGCCTTAGCTTCATCCAGACCCCCTCGGCCAAGGATTGGGAACCGAGTGAGCCAAGGTGTGCTGTGGAGGCGCTTGCCTCGTCCGATGCAGGGGATCTTTGGGGGTAAGGTCTGAACTAGGTACCCATTTGGGATTTGTTTGGAGTTCACCTTTTTGTTTGACATAGAACCCGAACGATATTATCATTATTATATATTTGTTTATTTTTTTTGGGAGGGGGGGGGGGTGTTGAAACCGACACCTATATAATACGGTGTAGCTATGTCGAGGTCAGGGTCAGGTCCTGGGTGTGAGGCTTCAGCCCTTGGTGAGTGACCGTCTTTGTAGCTTCAGGTTTCAGGTGTGTGCTCGTTTAAGGTTTAGGGCTATGGGTTTAGGGTTTCATACAGGGTTGAAGGTTTACCG